GTATGTGTGACACATTAGTGTTCAGCCATCTTTGACAAAGGCAAATGCATGTGTGACACATTAGTGTTCAGCCATCTTTGACAAAAGCAAATGTATGTGTGACACATTATGGGCTGTACCTATTGCAGTTCCTTTGGCAAATGTGTTCAGCCCACGTTCTGACGGGTTCCGAAGATATCGGTGGAGGAGTCTTCTCCGTCCTTTAGAAATGGACCGAGAAAGGGACTGGAGCACTTCGATTTGGAATCTATCCCCAAATCCAGGTTTGGGTGTGGAAACAAAATGAAGCCCAAGATTTCAGATAATAACAAACATCAAAGAAGCTGGTCGTGTGCGAAATGGTGGGCATATTGATTCGCGTGACGTGCTCTGTGGTAGAGGCAAAGGAAGTGTTGAATGCAGATTATATCCTGCTCTGCTCTCAAACACAGGCAGGGTACTTGCGCTTCCAAGTTGCAAACTTGCTGCAGCACTTGCCTTCAAAGTGGCACAGTTTTCTAACATGCCGATTTGCGCACGTGTAGAATACCACCTATCTGCGCACGTGCGACTCCACTGCACAGGGCACAGGGGTCCTATCTCGGCCTTTTGGAAGGCAGTTTCGGCCTTGGCACTCTTTAAGCTTCGGTTGCAGACATGACTCGCACCACTGGCCACCCATTGTCAGAGACTGCTGGCTGTCCCAACTGCTTTAGCCAAAAAACTTTCAGAAGGGTCGGAAGCTAAAGACAAGCTGACCAAGCGCGTCTCCATCAGTTGTCAGTCAGTATAGAACCAAGAAAAAACCTTGACCTTAGCTACGGATGCGGTGTCCTTTCCGCAACCGGAGACGACTGGGCCCTTGGCCGATGTTGGGGCCGTTGACCTCTGTCTCATGGGATTCATGGTGACCCCGCAAGGGGGTCCGGCTTGACGCAGGGTCGAGCGAATCGACGCGACAAAATGGCCACCGGCAACTCAGGCAATAAAGGCTCCTGAGTTTTCCATCTGCCGGGCGAAGAGTCACCAGACGAAGATAGAAGAAGCAGTCATTAACAAAAACGCATGAGCACTGAGCGCTACTATAGGTTGGAGGCCATCGCGACCAGGTTGGAGGCCATCGCTATTAGGTTGGAGGCCATCGAGTGTAAACACACCTTTACTTTGGAGTACTCTACCAGGATGAGAAGTCGCCATTCCCAGGATGTGAAAAGCATGTCAAAAACCATCCCGCCGCCTAAAGGAGCAGCCTACCCCGGGCCGTATATTCTTAAGGATTTAAGGTCTTTTTCCCGAAGGCGTAGCGAAGGGTTCCCGTTTATAGTTGGGGGTCTGGGGGTTGGAGCTGTGTTTGCATGGCTTGCGTCGTCTGTCGTCGTCTGTCGTCGTTTGTCGTCGTCGTTGCGTCTCAAATTCGCTGCCATTGGGGGAAGCTTTTGCAAGTGACTTTGCATGGATGTGTCACGTGTCAGTTTGCGCCGCTATTCCATTGTGATTTGCATGACAATGACATGTCGCGCAAGAAACGTGATGCATTTCGCTGCACAAGCGCAGCGTTTTGTGAGATCCGCAGATGGCCGTGCCATTGGGATTTGCGTTTCAGGGTGTGGCATCGAAGCTCGGTTTTCGTGACAGGTCTCAGCTGAAATGGGGATTTTGGTGGATGGGAGTGTGCTCAGAACGGGTCGAAATCATTCCAAACGTGTGGTGTGGTGCAAATTTTGTTGAAGCTCACATGAGATGATATTGTCACTTTTCGTGGCAGGCGCAGGACTTTGTGCGGGTTTTGAGGCCTGGAAGCGCGATTCTCGTGGCAGGCGCAGGGAATCGTGAGGTTGCGAGGTGTGACGGGGGTGACATTTCGTGGCAGGCGCAGTACTTTGTGCGCGTTAGACGTGTGGACGCGGGAAAGATTCGTAGCAGGCGCAGGGAATCGTGAGGTCGTGAGGTTGTGAGTTGTGGTAGAGGTGAATGTCGCTCCCATTGGGATTGGCGCGCTCGTTTTGCAGACTTCTGACGTGTGAGTTTTTGAGGACGTCTCGTACGAAACGCTCGTTTTGGGGACTTGAGGAGATCGTGCGTGTCGAGTGAGCGAAATGCAGGCGAGAGTGCGATTTGTCCAATGCGCGCGCAACCCTCTGCGGAGATCGTGCGTGTCGAGTGCGCGAAATGCAGGCCAGAGTGCATGCGATTTGTCCCATGCGCGCGCAGCCCTCTGCGGAGATCGTGCGTGTCGAGTGCGCGAAATGCAGGCGAGAGTGCGATTTGTCCGGTGCCCGCACCACCCTCTGCGGAGATCGTGCGTGTCGAGTGCGCGAAATGCAGGCGAGAGTGCGATTTGTCCGGTGCCCGCGCAACCTTTTGCGGAGATCGTGCGTGTCGAGCGCGCGAAATGCAGGCGAGCACTGGCGACTTTGTAGTACAACTTTAGTATCTGGGGAGCTGGAAGATGAGAACTGGTGACTTGGTAGTACAACTTTAGTACGCGGAGCAATCTGGCGACTTTGTAGTACACCTTTAGTACGCGGAGCAATCTGTGGAGCTGGAAGCTGAGAACTGGCGACCTTGTAGTACAACTTTAGTACGCGGAGTATCTGGGGAGCTGAAAGATTGTCCCACAAGAGTGTCCCACAAGAGTGTCCCGCAACAGTGTCCCACTAGAGTGTCTCACAAGAGTGTCCCTTAAGAGTGTCCTACAGGAGTATCCCACAAGAGTGTCCTACAAGAGTGCCTACAAGAGTGTCCTTCAAGAGTGTCCCACAAGAGTGTCCCACAAGAGTGTCCTGTAAGAGTGTTCCACAAGAGTATCCTACAAGAGTGCCACAAGAGTTTCCGACAAGAGTGTCCCACAAGAGTGTCCCATAAGAATGTCCCACAAGAGTGTCCTACAAGAGTGTCCCACAAGAGTTTCCTACAAGAGTGTCCCAAATGACCCACAAGAGTGTCCTACAAGAGTGTCTCACAAGAGTGTCCCAGAAGAGTGACCCACGAGAGTGTCCTATAAGAGTGTCCCACAAGAGTGTCCTACAAGAGCGCCCCGTAAGAGAGATCCACAAGAGTGTCCCACAAGAGTGTCCTACAAGAGTGTCCCAGAAGAGTGTCCCACAAGAGTGTCCTACAAGAGTGTCATTTGGACATATGTAGTTTTTCGAACGTGTTTGCATTCGGGTTCGTGGGTTCCATCTTGTTTATGTCCAAGACTCAAACATCATCAGGATGTTGAGGATCCATACCCATGGATTTGGCCTCGTGACGGTGCTTTCCGGCGATGAAGGGATGTGAACACGGACCGTTTTGGCCCTTTTTGGCAAACAAACATGCAGGAGGGCGCTCTTTGCCCATAGGGTGTTCCAATCAAAAGCATGCCAGGTCAAGAGGCCCCTTTCCGCAGCACTCAGATTCCAGATTCCTCTGAAAAGATACATTCGACGAAGTGAAGACTTTACACTTTCACCGCTCTTTGGAGGAGTAGAAACCAGAATCGTGTCAAATAGCCCACGTGGCCAGGTACAACAGGAACGTTTGGACTTCCTTCCTTCGTTCCTTCCTTCATTCCTTCCTTCCTTCCTTCCTCTTCCCAATCCCTTCTGCAACCACCCGGAATTCCCGCCCCCACGTGCTTCGCCCGACTCCGGTGCTTCGCCAAGCCACCCAGTTGACGTTCCAGCCCTTCCGATCCTGCGCCTTGAGCGGCTGTGACCGCTCGGCGAAACCGGTCCCCAACCGCTCCGTGAAAACGCCGCCCGATCCCTTCGGGTCGGGTCGGGGATGTCGGGGACCCGTGAGGATGGTCGGGGACCATGGGTCTCCGTGTCTGTCTGCGTCGCTAACTGGCATGTGTTGACTTCTTGAGACCTCGGACCGGTCGTGTTAGATCGGGCTGCGTCGGTCGATGAGAGAAGGGTCGTGTTTGGACGGGTGTTTCTCGCCATCGTCGTGATGACAGACAGCGCTCCAAGTAGAAAAGTGGTGCAGTCGATGGCTGATAGTTGTGTGCAGTCGTTGAAGTCTTGGGTTCAAAAAGTGGGTGTGGATCAAAACCAAAACCAAATCCGATTGTTGGTCTTTTCAGGTGAACATGGGTCAACCATTGCTGTTGAAAGAGCAATTCACCTTCCAAATCGTGAATTCACTGTACTTCACGTGACTCCCTGAAAAAACAACCGCCGACCAATGTTGCCAGCTGTGACAACTCATGGAGCTGCTGAAAGCGCTGCCAGGTTTGGCGAAACATCGATCGACCAGGTTTGGCGGACTGACTTCCCGTCTTCCGTTGCTTCCGAGGGGCAAAGTCTTGGAAGGTCAACACCTCAGGGTCGAGGGTGGCAGGTCGGGGGGGGGCAGGTGCAGGTGGGGTGTCTGTGGTTCTGTCGTTCTTCCCTCGTCGAAACACACAGAGCGGAACACAGAGCGGATTGCATACTCGAGCAATCCACTCTTTTTTAAAATACTAAAGCTACTGCACGTGATGCAGGTGTAGGCCAATTGCACTTGGTTGGAGTCCATGGCTTAGGTGCACATTGTTAGCCACAACATCCATCCGATGTCGCAATGTTCAGTCGGGAGGGCTTTCAATCAGCGATGTGGAAGTTCACAGTGAAAGGAAACCATCGAAAAAGAAAGCGTTCCAAACGACCAACTCCCCTATTCTCCCCGATTTCTACGGCGTCTTGGGAAGAAAAGAGCTTTCACAGGACTCTGTGAAACGCTTGAAGGACGACTGCACTGCATGGTGATGGTCAAAGACACTGCACTGAGATCTTTGCACCAAAAGGTCTCAGTTTAGGGGTGGAGATTCATGGCTTGCGCGCGGTACTTTTCGAACATGATGTGCATCTATTTGAAGCTGCAACAATCTCTGCGTGGGGTAGAAGACTGGAGCCACTACCACAGAATCACTGCAAGGCAGCTTGATGACTAACTGGGCACATTGATATCGATATCTCATCATTGTCACCTAGAGATTGGACACTAGTGTACGCCGGAAGGTTTTCAGCAACTACAGTAGTCACTACAGTAGTCACTACAGTAGTCACTACAGTAGTCACTACAGTAGTCAACCGTGCTGATGTGCCAGTCAGTGAAACCTGTCAACGACTGCGTCAAGGTGCAACCCGCAACGGAGGAAAATAGTCATCAGGTGCTCCTTCAGGAAGAAGGACAGGTGATTCCTCAACACTGCAAGCTGAGCTCAAAGGACACATTCCCGGTTCTTGTTTTTGAGTGCCCATCGCTCTTAGGTTGGAGGCCATCGCTCTTAGGTTGGAGGCCATAGCTAGTAGGTGGGCCCACCCGGTGGAAAAACACTACGAAAAGAAGGACGGGGGGCCAGGGCGTTGGCCTCCAATTCTCATGTCTTTTCTACCTGCCCTGACGTAAAAGTTGTCCTCTGTCTGCCTCTTCGAAAGAGATCAAACAAACTGCCAGGATCAAGTGGAGGTTGAGCTCCAGTTGCTCAAATGTTGGATTCCCTACACAGACCATGTCAGAACAAAGACTGCCACGGTCAGACCTCCCGTCCACAGTGCCCAGGTGTCCAAGGAGACCGTGGTCGTCTTGGCATAAAGATACGTCCTGGCATCCGTGGCGAGTCTGACGTGCCGTGCAAACGAGGAAGGAACTCATGTCGTCTTCAGCTAGGACGAGGAGTTCCGGAGGAGACCGCGGTTGCGGTCGTCGTCCGTCGGAACTCCTTGGTGCCGAACTCCTTTGTGCCCCATGCGCCCCACGGAACTTCGATCAAGTCGAACTGCATCGACCTCTTGCAAACGCTGTCACAAAGAGTCCATGGTGCTGGCACAGTGATGATGGAAGGCGGACCGATTTACTTTGTTTCCTTCCCCTCCGATCTGTCGACATTGAAGAACCAAAAGGGTCAAAGGGCTTGGAATGTTCAACTGCCAACTGCCTTGCAAAGGAAGCTAATGACATAGAGTTTTTTAGAGGGGACTCCTTGAGGTATGCGTTTCGGCATCACTCGATCTTTTGGGTGACGCAAACACCTGTTTTTTTGTTGCAAAGACATGTACATGACGTTCTTCCAAATGGAGGCCAACACACACGCGTCCCACTGGCATCCTCATGTCTCTCTTGTCCCAGGATACGCTCTGAGTTCGTCTCTGGATACGTTGAGTCGTCTCTGCAACGTCTCCAGTCTGGTTGGTCCCTCTATCCGACCTGCTCTCACTTCTGTCCGTAGATTTCTAAACCATCCTAAACCATCCTAAAGCTATCAAGTCAAAACAGGACAAGCTGCGGGATGAACGGCGGTGTCTTATCTGGTCTGAGAGGCACTCCGTGAAAACAGCCCAACGGGTCCCTCAAAATCTAGAGGTTAGTGAGAATCCCCAGGCTCCATGAGCGTCTGGGTACGACATCCGACTTATCATCTGATATCATACGATGAGCTCCAGGTTTGTAAAGCAATGAAGTTGTTCCCTCTTGTCCTGGTGTTGTCATCAGGCAGCTTGAGGTACATGGCTCCAAGAGAAAGAGGTGGCGGTGGCGAGATTTCTTCCTCAGTGGGCGAGGTGACAGCTTCGGTGGTTTTCCCCCAAGCAGTGTGGTAACACTAGGGGTTCTTACGGTAATGGTTAAGGGCCGGTGTTGAATCGGGGTGTTGCATCGGCTGGTTCCTTGCTATTTACATAGTGCGTTCATGCCTCTCGAAATCCTCGAAGTGCATCTCGACTGCGCAGGCTTGCAAAATCTGGTGGGCTGACGCGGGTGCTCTTGGAGACTGCGCTCTCGTTGTGGTGCCGTGCACATTTTCGGGCATGGTGGTCACTTTTCGTGGCAGGCACCATGTTTTGGTGGTCCAAAGTCGAATTTGCGTGACAGGCGCCAGGGATCGGAGCGGCTTTACTTCGATGTGTAGATTGCGTGGCAGGCGCAGCACTTTGGACGTGGTGATTTCTTCCCGAAAGACTTAGTCGAAGGGTGAGGCTATAGCACTTGCAAGAGTCTAGCACTTGCAAGAGACTTGATCAAGTTTTAGCACTTGGTCTGTCTAGCTGAGGCTGTAGCACTTGTAAGAGTCAAGCGCTTGCAAGAGATTTGAATCAAGCTTTAGCACTTGGGGTGTCTAGCTCAGGCTTTAGCACTTGTAAGAGTCTAGCACTTGCAAGACATTTGCAAGAGACTTGATCAAGTTTTAGCATTTGCAAGAGATTGGAACAATTTTTTAAGCACTTGCAAGAGATTTGACCAAGTTTTAGCATTTGCAAGACACTTGACCAAGTTTTAGCGTTTGCGAGAGACTTGACCAAGTTTTAGCACTTGCAAGAGACTTGACCAAGCTTTAGCATTTGCGAGAGACTGGACCAAGCTTTAGCATTTGCGAGAGGCTTGACGAAATTTTAGCACTTGCGAGAAGACTTGACCAAGTTTTGTCTTGACATCTCGCTCTTTAAATATCTTTAAAGCCGGGGCGGACAAGGCTTGAAGTGCACATTTCGTGGCAGGTGCAGTGCTTTGAGGCAGGTTTTGTGGCAGGCGCAGTACTTTGTGGACCTTGAAGTGCAGATTTCTTGGCAGGTGCCGTGCTTTTTGGACCTTGAAGTGCACCTTGAGGTGCAGATTTCGTGGCAGGTGCAGTGCTTTGTGGACCTTGAAGCGGTGCAGTACTTTGTGGACCTTGAAGTGCAGATTTCTTGGCATGTGCCGTGCTTTGTGGACCTTTCCCAGCTTGAGCCCCCATCCACCACCACCACCATCACCACCCACCACCATCACCACCAATCACCACGATCTCCACTTTCACCACCATCACCTCTCTGGACGCCAATGCGTCTAGATCTCTAGACTTTCTGCTGATACACCCCTAGACCTCACACACACTGTTTGGGTTCTCTTGCCGGGATCATTTGTGCAGTTGCGGGGTGCTCATCCGAGATGACCGATCCATGGCCTTTGGTTCCGGCTGCCTGGAATCCAGTCCCAAGGAGAAACATGTCTGGATGAAAATGCAGAGTTGCAACCAGTTCTTATGTTGGTCACTAAGACAAGCCTTAAATGGATGGAACCCCACAGTCCCAACCAGTTGTTATGTAAAGGATCCAAGAATTCCCACATTGGACGGACCCTTTGTTGATTTGGACTGGATTTCCAGGTGGTTGCCCAGTTTCAACCGATCAAACCAGATCAACCCCGATCACTTGGCATGGTAGCGAATGCATGGTCTCGTTTCTTCAAACGACATGAACACAAAATTAACCGAGACGCAGTTAGACCAGTTACCATCACTTTGACTTGGGGACTTACCTCCATGTCTTCAATATGTCACAGATACCAGCCAGGACCAGCCGGTGATTCCGACTGCAATCCCTCCTCTCTCTCAACCTCTCTACGATGAGACTCCGACTCCCCCCTCCGCCCTCCGCAGCTGTCAGTGGAGCACGAGAAGTAGTGTTTGTTCCGTTTTCCATTGGAGCCCTACCAGTTATTGAGTAGGTAGGCCATTTCCAGCTGGGTGGTTGAAACCAGCTTCTTTCAACCTACTCATCCAGTTGCCAAATGGCCGAAACACCGATGGAATGCATGGGGAAAAAGACCGATGAATCGAACATACCCGAAGGCTTGACTCGAGGCTTGCCGCCGAAGCAACATAACACCGCCATATGAACCTCAGATGACCAATGCAAACATCTCAGCCACAAGTGGAGCTCGACGCAGCTCAACGACCTCCGAGCTTCACCTGTTTCGTGGTTCACTGTTTCAGCCTGTTGACAATCTCATTGTGTTTTCACAGCAGGACCGTAGCTTGCAATTGAGGCTGACCTTAAAGAAGAGCTGTCAGATGTTTGCTTTTGGAGGGAATGCTGCTGCAAAGCCAGTTTCTGTCACCAACCAGTTCTCCCACTGCAGACGGTCGTAATGAGCTCCACATTTAGTGGCAAGGATTGCGCGGCAAACCGCAGAAAAAGTATGTCAAAAACAAATTCGAAAGTTCTCCCACCAAACTGATGAATTTGTACTTCTGAAAACAGTTCTTCAGTGTAATTTTTGGCATTAGCCTTTGAAGTCAGCATTGTTGAGCCCTTCAAACATCTAGTATTGCAGAAAGGCTATACTGGTAGCTTGAGCTCAGTATAATGAATTTCAGAGCAACGAATGAACCACCAAAACGTCCCGCAGCAACTTTGATGCTTTCTCAAAAAAAACGGATCTCTTTATTTCGTTTTGTCCCTTCCATTTCGTTTCACCGAGTAGATAAAAACCTATCCCCATCCGGACAGCGTCATCTCCAAGTAGCTGATGTAGTCTGGTGAAGGTGGCGTTCCAGTCCTCCGTGAGAAAACCGCTGTTTTCTTGATTTTTGTTTCGAGACCAACCGGAGAAACATGGAGAACCCGTCGTTCACGGGGCAGACCTGATGCGAAGCGGATGCAACGAGAAACCTCGTGTTCAGCCGGTTGTCAGAGTGGAAAAAGTCGTACCCAAGGTGACCATGCAACATGTGGAATGCACATCAATTGACCATGTCAATTGGCGCCAGTTAGCTAGTTGTGAGGTTCCAAAATCATAATGGTGTCCTCCGGTGTCTGAATCCTGCAGGTGACAAGTCGTGCAATGTTAGAAAATCCTCGGATCTTTCCCTTCGAAAAACCCTCACTTCAAGCGTCCACTGGACGTGCAAACTTCTGCAAATGAGGCATTCGCGAATGCACATCCTTGGCGGAGCTGGTGGGACACGGAGCTGGACGGGTCTCGGTTGTGAAGGTGACACATCAGCGAATGATCTTTCTGGAACGAAAACGCGCAAATGAGTCCGCTTACTTCAAGGCCACATCAAAAATCAACCCTGCTGTGCTCTGAAAAAGCCCTAGATCAATCGAGCAGCTACATTAATTAGTTCAAAGGTGTGGAAGTGGCACGAGACGTGGGGAAACACCGCATCACATTGCAGGAAGCTAAAAGAAGAATCTTATCCAAGACGAAAACTCTGATCAAATCCCAACCCGCTTCAGCGCAGAAACCAATGCACATCAAACCGACCGGTCATGGCCGACCTTCAGCCTTCCCCCGAACCGCCGAACCTTCGATCGGCGAGACACACGCAAAAGGCACGTTCCACTGGTTGAGATTGACCATGCTAATCATTGTGATTCGCACATTGTCGACTCTCTGGCCAAACGACGTCAAAGGACGAACCTGATGGGAGTTTGGACACTACCCCCGAGCCCCACAAAAGAGCGCCTTCGCCGCAAGAGCCGGGCGCTCTTGCCCGCCAGGCGTCGGGCTTTCGTGTCCGCCGCTCGAAGTTTAACTTCGCTTGCAAAATGTCGAACCTCAGCGTAGGCGAGGTGTTTCTCCGTTTCGAACACCTATTTGTGCCTTTCTTGTTTCCTTGGTGTCTTTCTTGTTCAGAGTTCAGATGTTCCGTTGGCCTTTTTTCTTCAGGTGAGAAGGACACCAAAAAACTTACTAGTTTCCGTGGTTTGAACCGAGCTGTTTGGGTGCTTCGACCAGTAGACTCCATGGGTCTGTCTTGAAAAAAACCGCGCTTCACGACGGTGGTTTTGAGATGGTTGTTGATGGGTGTTCCGAGGTTCTTTGTGCTTTCCTTCCTTCACAGACCGTTATGCAGGCACGCCTGGGGGCAGGGTTTAGGCCAAACCGTCGTTCGGCGCGGTGCGCGTTTAGCGAACGGTTCATTTTGGGCAGACCCCCCATCCGTAGAGGACATGGAAAAATGAGAGACCAGGTGGGGAAAAGATCTTTTTTCAACCAGTGATCTGGTCATGATCTACAAGCGCTCTGACCCGGGTGGCCCGGACCCCAGGCCATCAAACCATTCGAGAGTATATTTCTGAAATACCCAGACACGACACAAGGGACTGCCATATATGCCGATCAATTGACTCCCAGTCAACCACCCCTGGCCGTTTCTCGGCAGTCCGACATGGCAGTCCCAGACGGGTCGTGTTTCGGATAGGGAGACCGGGAGACCGACCACCGTTTGAACGATCCGCCCTGGGTTTGGCGTCGGTAGACCGTGTAGACCCCGTGGTCGCTCCACGCTCCACGCTGTCCGTCCGATCCATCGGAGGTCGAACATCCAGTCACGGTCAAGGTCACGGTTGAAGAAAAAGGTCTGAAGATAAAGGTCCGCAACAAAGCAGGAATTGATAAAACATTGGAGGCGTTCTTCTGAACACACATTGGTCATGGTTGTTTCTTCGCCACGTGACTGCTCTGTGCTGCCGTCTAAGACGAAACTCATCTCTGCCTGGGACGATGGATGTCGTCCAATTGCGAGGGAAAATGGAAGAGGGAATCATTTCATTGCACAAGCCTGGAGCTCTCATCGCTCATCGTATGATATCAGATATCTAAGTCGGATGTCATACCCAGACGACCCTGGACCGGGGGTCTGGAGTCGAACTCACTCACGAATCCGGTGAGTAGGCAACAACCCGAATCGGGCCGGACTTCACGGACGGAGCGGCTGGGAACATCCCAAACCAGCGAAGAAAACGGTACACAAAGCGTTTTTGGGGATGCTCTTTGGAAGAATCAAAGGTATTCTGGGTCATCTTTGAGGACCTATTCTTGAGGACCTATTCACATGCCACGTGTTTTTGTGCGCGTCAGGAGCTTCAGTACAGCGGTCTGGGACGTGTCCACAGCTTGCTGCGGTCCTCCACCAGAGTTCCAACTCCTTTTGGCCGAGACTAAGCGATCCAGGTCACAAGCTCTTGAAAGGTCTCAAGGATGCACGTGCCATCCTCGGATGCCGGGCAGAAAACTGGACTTGCCCAGATCAGCACCCCTTAACAAACAGGCCTGGCTGTGTGTCTAGAACAACTTGGGAAACTCGACGGCGACCATCGTTTTGCTTTCATCTTCTCACACCTTCTCTTATTCTCAAAGGTCTCTTCATTTTTTCGGTTGCTCGTCTCACCGAACCTATCCCACTTACCCTTCCGAATTGGATTCCTGCCCCTTCCCCGCCAACACCCTCTCGCCGAGCATCCGAGGCCTCAGTGATGCTTCGGGGCACGACGCGGGGCTTCAGCAACTCCTGCGGCGTGTTGGGGGTGCTTGTTCTTTTCTCAGTAACAAGAAGCTACGAACGGAGCAAAGGGCGCAAGGACGCTACGAACGGGGCTCCTGGCCTTACTACTAGGAGCAAGAAGCTACTAGGTTGGAGGCCATCGCTACTAGGTTGGAGGCCTGTACTACTAGTAACAAGAAGCTACGAACGACGCTATTCGGTTGGAGGCCAAAGAAAGAGCAACACACCGACACCGGGGCCGGCAGGGTAGGTGGCGAGAAGTGTCCGAGAATGGCTCGTGGGTGAAGTAGCGGGTGTTCTTGGGTATTGGGTATCGGTGTAAAGCACGCCATTGAACAGGAGCAATTTCTACGTAAACAGGAGCAAGTGTAGTCCCAAGTGTCCTTCCATGGCCCCTACAGCACTAACACTTGCCTCTTTGCGAATTTGGCACAAGGTTTGCCTGGGATGGGCTGCTGCAGCAGCCATCTGGTTAATTGTCTTGCCCAGTTTTCCAGGGTCAGCTCTATAGCTGTCTGTTTCTCTGTTCTCATCATCAGCCGCCAAGAATCTCGCCCTGGAGTCTAGAAAAAACATGAAAAAACAGTACTCATTGTGGCCATGCTCTTAGCCTACTTTTGGATCTTTTGGCATTCTGAGAGCACCAGAACTTGGTGTGTTTGCCCTGCAGTGTGTGGCTTTGGTGTATCTGGTCGCTGCGAGGCGTCCCTCGTCCCTCGCCTCGGGAATGCTGTCAGCGGAGGCAGAGGGATCTTCACGCTGCCTGCAGCGGCAAACATGGTCGAACCGGGCGACGAACGGAACCCCTCCATTTGAACGGAACTGCAAAGACATCTTGTGCCCGATTGACCCATGTTTCCCCAAACCAGCCTTCTCCATTTACCATTCACCATTAAGATCTATAGATTTGAAAAGAATTGAGAAGATCACAGGTGGGATTGGGTTGTCCAATGAGAAGATGCCTAAAAGTGTTCAGAACGCGGACACCTGCCAGGTCTGATGTGGTTTGGGATGTCTCATTCTCCGTTCTGCCAGGCATGCGCAAAAAGACACTTGAAACGACCATCCTGTTGGGGTGCCCTGTCTGGAAGCCATCCAGGTCGTGTGGGGTAGCCAGGACACCCCGATGGTCGGATGGTCTGGCTTTCGTTTTGCCAGCAGAAAGCGACATTCTTCTCATCTAGCGATGGCGGTGTTGCTTGCCGCCACCGGATGACTCTCCCGTCTCCGTCTCCAGGCACCGTCAGAGGAGTCAAGTCCGCATGGATGTCAGCCTGGAAGTTCCATCGTCCCAGTCGACAGAAGAACTGGATGGAACTTCAGTGTCCCAACTATTTGTGATGTGACACATGTTCATCGTGTGTTCCAACGGATGGTGTTCTAACCATGTTCTAACCGGGAACGTCCAAAACATCCACTTGACACATGTCGCCACATCGCCGCCCGAATCCGCCCGACGCATCGGATGTGGACGGAACGTCCGTGTGTGACCTGTGGACGGAACGTCCGTGGTGCCCAGTACCCCGGCAGCCATCCGAAAGCCGCGGCAGTGCAGTAAACGCGCCCTACCCCAAATCCCGCAAAAGGGACACTGCAGGCGCTTCAGAAGTTGCTTCACTGTCAGACCATCGAAAAGCATCAACGTTCCGCTCGGTTCCGCGCTGCGAAGCCCAGCGACTCCGGATCTTCTTTGAAGACGATCAAGTGATAGGGCTCCACCTCGAAAGGGACGCAACGTGAGGATGTGATTGAAGAGAAGAATAGGTTAGGTTCGCAAATGCACCAGCAGTCACAAAGGGGTACTATCCATGGAGGTTCGGGGTGCCCCTGTCACATCCACTCACTGGATGGGACGTTTCACACCACCCCGTCTTGTGACTCCTGGCAAATGAATGTTCCAAGATTATGAGCTTTTAGAAGAATCTATGCAGCTGTTCGCTCCTGGTCGTGGAGCGAACCTGCAAGAGATGGCCGGTTCGCTCAAACCACCACTTCCGATCACTACATTGGAAGTCGATGGCGAAGGTCGCAACATCAAATCTCCAATCCAACAAGAAGCTATTAGTAACAAGTGCCTTACTAGTAGTAACAAGTGCCTTACTACGATTGACTTCACTTCCTGAAACGTTCAGTCACGAACGGCCCGACGTGTCTTTTTCAGAAAGGTATGCACTACAGGCCCCGTTTCTTTCTCTTTTCTTTCGACCTGTGCAGTTGTCGAAAACCACCGTTTCGCTGGTCTTTCCAAACGAAACCACGCACCACGCGACCCCGAGGGGTGCCTCACCCCACGAAGCGCTCCTCTCTCGTCTCGAACGCCCGCTGGGGCCCCCGGACAGAGCCAAAGAGGTCCTGCACCAGCACGTGGCACACATCCAGCCCCCGAGAGGCGCCATACTTGCCTCGGTGTGACGACCAGGACGTGGGAGGGTGGATCAGAGGCGGGACGGCTTTCTTCGGCCCCCGGCATTCTTCTGAAGCGCCGAGATGACATGGAAAAGATCTGAAGAAAGTGAAGTTATATGTTTACATATGTTTACTACTACAGTATAGTCCTTTTTTGTGTTGTTTGTTCGATAAACGCCAGGGATATGTACAGAAGCAGCCCTTGAAGGGTTGATGGTGGAAGTCTCATTGCTCTGGATGGACACTGGTGGTTTGACCGCGGTATAGGTGAGTTTCGAGACAGAGGAACCATCTCCCTAAAATTCCTGGCCCACCATTGGTTTCATGGCCTAGTCCTCCCAAACAACCATTGCTTTGCTCAAGATGCTACAAAACCAGGTCGTTCCCATTCTTGTAATTAACGGTTTAAAGTCCGTCCCGGCGACCGTGGACTGTGACACAGGGTGTTCGTCTTGTGCAGACGGAGATGGGATTGGGCCATCGAGTCGTCTGTGTCATCTCATACCCTCCATCCAACAAACATGGCAGTGGATTATGGCCCCTTGGAAGACTGTTTTCCTCTATGAATAGGTGGTTTTTCCACTTCCATGATTGTTTCAGGGAGGGTATCTCTCAGATGGTCATATCTTAGACGAGCGCAGCGTTCGTATAAGATCGATGATTCACTTCATCAACTTCATCAACGAATGTCGAATGTTGACGGTGGATTCCTGCGGCCACCCCTCTGAAATTGGTGCATCGAAACACCATCGAAACACCATCGGACGTTCCGGACGATTCCCTTTCCTTCGTTTGCCCCGTTCGTAGCGTCCGATCGCTCCTAGTAGCGATGCCAGGAGCCCCTAGTAGCTTCTTGTTCCGCAAAAACTCCCAAAAGGCAAGGCACTGCGCAAATGAATCCTCACACAGGGTGGCGCACTCTGGCAACTGTCGGCCTGGCTGGACTTCTCCACAAACTTCACAAACTCCTGAAGTAAGATGGACATGGACTTGGGGATATTTAAAAAGCTCCTCAACAATACAATCCATCCATCCATCCATCCATCCATCCATCCATCCACATACATTATACAAATAACAACAATATTATTCCTTGGCTTGAGATGATCATTGGATTCAACTCGTTTGCCCAATTGGCAGGTGCATCACAAGTGCCCAAAACATCCACACACTGTCGCACGCGGACAACGGTGCGCCGCATGAAGAGATCTACCCTGTGGAAGCCGAAAGCCATGGCTTGCTTCCTTCTAAATCCAAAAAAGATCCGAGAGCACAGCCAGTTTTTGCCCCACATGTAACATCTGCGTGCTCATTATATACAAGGTATAGAACCATGTGGGACACATACTTGCCCCCCCACTTTGACCTGTGCTACTTCAGAAAAAGGAAGTACGATGCAACCTGAAGCAGTATGAAGACTCAGCAAGCTCAACCAACTGCTGCAACGCTCGCAGACCAAAGTCCCCTTCTCAGCAACTTCCGTCGGAATCAACGGGCCTTTCCCTCAATGCCAAGTGCTGTGCAAGGAGTGGAGGCTGCGTTTGTCTCACAGAACACAAGGCCACTGGGGCCCCAGTCGACCTATCGTGGAAGGTGTGGTGTCCCTGACCCAGTCCTCCTCGGCCTTCTTGTCTGAGAGCAAGGAGAGGAAGGATGTCCTTATATGCAGAATGACGACGGTACAGTAAAAGCTGCAAATTGCTGGTGGAACACTGAAAACCAGGGGAGACTTTGGAGCTCTACTTTCGACTGTGGCATATTTGAGGGTCCGTTTTCGCCCACTAGTTCATAAAAAGGAAGAAGGAAGAACAAAAAACAAAAAGAACAAAGAAGAACAGCAAGACATAAATAGAGAAAGAACAAGAAAAGGGCTCAAAAGATGCAGAAAAAAGAGAACGACGGACGGAATAAAGTCCTGTCTTTCCCTACATAGCTTGCCTTTCCAAATACCACTCATTTCCCAAGATTTTTATCACTGAGACTGAATGACCCTGATCTATACAACACAAGTGAGCCCGGGTAATCCTTAAGACGTCTGAAGATCAGAACAACAGTTACCATCTCTCTTCAGCTTGACTGACGTACCTCATCGAGAGTATAGACACGCAGAAATGCCGCATCAATTCCTTTTGAACCAGGACACCACATACACAAAGACACTGCTACTTGGAACCACCCTGCTCGTGGTCTCCATGCTGGAACTTTTCGAACGATATGATGACACGTGTGCACACAGCTATAAAGTTTGACCTTTGTCGTGTCAGGCCCTTATAGGTTGGAAAAAAAGACAAGGATTCTTTCGGAATTCCTTAGAAGCCCCCCAAAAGGGTACATCAACATATTGTCAAACTCATCGGCTGGCAGGGTTTTCATGGCCTGCACTGCAGGTTGCAATCGACTCTAGCGTGTTCAGTGTATTCTGTTCTTTCCGGCCATTCTTGGTGTTCTTTCTTGGTGGGATGCCTTTTGCTTCAGTGTCAAAAACCACAACCCCCTGGCCCGGCCCTTCCTCCAGCTGGGCCCCCGTTCCCAGACATTTGCTCGGCGGTAGTGAAGTCGGTCAGGCACTGCGGCTCCCCGTGGATGTGGAAGTGACTATCGATCAGGACGTCCCCGTCGCTGATGGCCGTCAGCATCCGGCGGAAGCCTTCCACCATGGAATTGGCATCCAGCAACTTCTGGATGAACCTCCGGCATGTTTCGACCCACCGGTTGCGATGAATGTTTGGTCGCCGGGTGTCGGTCTAGGTGTTTTCTTGCGGTGTACGGACTCTAATTATTATGAAGGATCACCAGTGTATTCTGGATGAACATGGATGAACCTTTTTTGGATCAGCTCATCAGCTGTGGATTGATGAGATGAACCGGGTGAATTGAAGGATCATATGAAGATATATGACGCAAATTCTGGTGGGCACATCCCAGGGTGGTGGCTGGAGCAATCTGTAGGTGAAGAGCTTGGAGGAATCCCCGAAGCGAAGCGAATCTGAAAGGTTCAACTTCGGACAGTTGCCACATGAGTTCCCAGCCTTCTGCCAGTGTGCTCAGCGCAGCAGGCCACAATGACCTGGCTCTTCCAGGCGAGTTTCGCAGGCAACGCAGTCTACGCAGGTACCCTGTCCTGAAGACCGAACTGGGTCGTGTCCTCGGACAGCATGTAGACTGTAGACCCTTGAGGACCATACACACCCCCATTTGAAGTGGAGGTGTTCCTCTTCATATGGGGGAGGGGGGGAGGTTATGGTCCTCAACAGTCTACATGACGACAGCCTTGACCGAACTGAGTCGCTGAACCTTTGTGACTCGCGACCGCCTGCCTCGTGGTGGGTGTTCTCGCGCGCGCGCGCGCGCGTCGCCGACCTAGGCCCTTGAGGTCTGAAAGCCTCGATCCTCCGAAACCTGTACCCGTCCGTTGGAGCACTTTTCCACTGGTTGATCTGGTTTAGTGTAAAACCCTTAGTGAAACAATGGTTGTTCCGTAAAGGCTATTAAAACAATGGTGGTTCGACTTCTAGGGGTTTTGTAGTGTAAAACCCTTATACTAAAAGAGCTATCTCAATCAATGATGGGCCACGACTTGTAGGGTTTCCGAACCTTCGATCCTCCATGATGGTGTTTTGAGCCCCACCACGGGTCGCCGTTGCAACGTCCAGTATCCACAGCAAAGGAGAGGTCAAAAGCACTATAGGACCTTCCCAGTGACAGTGGCTGAGGTCACTCCTGAAAAGGTCACTGGGAAGTACTGGGAGGTCCTGGCAACGAGTTTTTGGCCAAGTCGCGTAGAGCAGAAGAGCGTAGAGATATCTGCTCATGGCTTCTCTGGTCCTCGGTCGTGCTGGTCGCATGCGACTCGACAGTTTCCCAAAAAGAGGGTTCTTTCCCATGAGGCACAGAACCATGAGGATCCCTTCCCTAAGAACCCAGTGTTTTGCGGATCTGATGCCATTGGCTATCTTTGGAGCCCGAACGTTCTTAGTGAAAAACAACACCCAAACGAAACCACACCGAGTCAGTCGACCCCGAGTCCGTGCTTCACGACCTCTGCCCCCTCCCCCACGGGTCACGTCCAAGGCTCATTTCGCCGCCCATGGACGAGAAGGTCCAGGCGTCCAAGCCAAAAACACAGACACCTCGGAGGCGACGCGGCGACGCGTCTTCGAAGCCGCCGGTCGGCCGACGGCCAGGCTTTCACTCAACTGGCGGCCCATCCGACCTTCTCGCACCGCACCTTGCGCTGCCAAGGCGCCCAAGGGAATCGTGAGCCAAGTATCAACAAACACCTCACCACGCGGGACGAAGCACAGCGGTGTTCCCGTGGGGGAAGCCGTGGCTGGCCCGTTGCCGGAAATGGTACACCGTGGTAAAAACCCAAAAAGCTGGTCAAAAAGGGGAACATATCCGTTTTGTTTGCCAAAACTTCCTGCACGTATATAGTACCTGAGTGGCGTTTCCAAGACAACCCAGAATTCAACTTCGAAGCAGCCTTTGGAGATCACCCCCTGGGCTTTTGTGGCGAATCCAAATGTTGAAGCACTTCTCCAGGTCGAGATGGCGACGGCTGGGTGGCATCACGTGAGCGCCACAGAGTGTCACAGAGTGTTCAGTTTTGCACCCACCCAGACGCTCCTGACCCCTCATATGCAGGGGTCGGACCCTCATATGGAGGGGTCTGGACCCTCAAATCCCTATGGTTTTGAGGGACCAAGGGCTGTTTGGAGCGTCTGGGCAGAAAATAAGCCATCATGGTAACGATGCACCTGACGTTTTTTGCGCATCCGACCATCTGAAAGGCTCCAAAGAAATCGGCTGTGTCTGCTCGTATGTATCAGCTCATAATTTGCTGTCCAATGACACCATTCACTTGTAACAAAGGTCGAGTTGAAGAACAGCGCATGTATGTCATTCCATGGGAGAACTGGCAGGAATCGGCAGGAAAAGCTGAGATTGAGATAGGATTTGTGTCTTCTGGAGACATTTGTTGAATTCAACTTTCATGTTGGAAAAACATGAAGTGATAGAGTCACAATATGGGTCCCACACAACAAACACCGACAACACAGCTAGGGCCATGCGGCCGTTGCCATTGTGAAAGCTAGGGCCATGTTGTGCATCTGGCACACGGCAACATGCGGGGAAGGGGTTGGCTTGGGATAATCGACCAGTAGAATCAGTAGAAAGCTGTTCTGAAAGTGAACATGAACTTTTACATCGAAGTAATCTTTACTTGGTTCTTTTTGATTCTACGTCTGCTACCCTGTGGAAACGAATGTGACCCCAAAAATGGAACCTCTGCCAAAACGTGGGAGCATTGCCTTGTTGGTTGACACGACACCGGCAGAATCCTTTGGTCAGCTCGGCTACAAAAGCCCGGCAAATTCCAGTCGATGGTCATCCCGAACGTGTTTTACGCTGGATTTTGCATCATGGGTATATTACTATAGTACTTGGTATATGACTATAGGACTTTTCTACGGATTTTTGCTAAAAACCAGGTCAACCGAACTCTTTGAATGGTCGATCGCAAGGCAAATGAGAAAATGCCGTTTCTTCGTACAACCAACCATTAGGAATCTCAGCGACCGTGCCCTGCCAGCTACGACCAGCTACTCCTATGTCCTATGTCCGACGGGACGCCTTGCATGGCTCAGCGAAGGCGTCCCGTAGGTCAGACTTAAATGGATGTGTCAACAGTTCCAACCACTTGTCAAGTGATGGGAAGAAATAGAGCCCTTCCTTTTCAGCAACCAAGATTTGACACAAAATCCCAGGACCACCTGGTCGACGTCGCCGAAGCTTCCCCGTCCATCGGAGACGTCCCCCGTTCTCAGTGTCTTGGGATCACAGATCACATGAGATCAGCGCTGATCAGCTGAATCCGTCGTGCCTGACTCACTGCGTAGTGCTCTAAATTGGGGCACGTCCAAATCTTGAAGAGCAGCACCTTAAGCTCACCCGAGCCCCCGCGACACGCGGGCGCGAACGGCGCCGGCGCTCGCCGGGACTCGGCGAAACCCGTTCCATGGCACGAGTTTCCAGTGAATCGAAGCTCCTCCCACTCCTTGGGGTCCGTCCCATTCCGTAACAAATGATGGTTCAGTCGCAGGCCCTTTTGCTCTGTAACAAGATCATTCATGACCGATTGCGGTCCTGGGACGCCCCCCTACCAGGCCCACCCATCGTTGCTCAGACTCCAAACACTTCGGCCGTGTCGTCGTGACCCGCCCAGAAGGCTGGTCGCGAAGGTGGTCGCCCGTCCAGTTCGCAGCTTTTTGGGCGAGACGAAGGTGTGACACCGAAAAGCACCATTTCGGAGGAAAAAGACTTGGTGTCACACGAGAAGCTCATTCTCGCATGCTCATTTTAATTTTGAGTGGATATCTTAAGACGAAAGTGCAGGTGGAGCACCTTCCCGTTGGGGGAAACGATCTCGGTCTCCGAGCGACAGGTCTCGCCCGGGCCGTGGCACAAGTACCCGCAATGAAGCGACGAGAGTCCCGTCAAGCTGAAACATCTGACAGATCCATCTCTCCAGACAAGTACATACTTATTGATTTCACCCCACCGCGCGCAGAGCCACAACTTGACAGTTGGAGACCAAAGAGTCATGGCCTGAGGACCTTTCCCGGTTGATCTTAGGATCTACATGTGAATGTGAGGGCAAACATTTCAGCAGGCCTTCGGTGACTTCATCAACCAGGTGACCCATCCCACACAGGACACATGGGACTGCCATGTCGGACTGAACAACGAAACGGCCAGGGGTGGGTGGTGTCGGCCAGGGGGGATCAATGGGGGCGGCCGTGCGACATGGCAGTCCGCAGGTCGTGTCTGGGCACCGTCCAGGTCGGTACCGAGCGGCCAGGTAGGCAGAGATGGCCGCAGGTCGAACGGCCGAGCGCTTGCGCTTCTCCACGCCCCAAGTGACCTGAGAAAAAAAACCGGTCGGGAAACGAGGAGCGGCAGAAAAGGGAAACGAGGAGCACAGCCGGTTTTTTCACGAAAAAAGCAGCCGGTTTTTTCCGTTCGGATCGGATGAATCGAAGAATGAAGTGGTGTCCTTTAGGCGATGTTGTGATCCCAGCCTTGGGAAGCTGAGTGGCACACGAATCAGGGCAAAAAAGAGTCCGAATCTGTTTCATGTGACCTATGATCCTATGATCCTATGATCATCACACAGCGCCATAGAGGTGCACAGCGCCTATGTCCACCGGCGCCGCGCGTGCACTGAGTCGGTGGAGTGCACTGTCGTCTCTGTCTTTGTGAAGTCTTTCAGTATGTGCACATTGGTACCATGTACAAACCAAAGTCGTATACATGGTATAAGTCTTTGAGACTGTAATACAAAGTCTTTGTATCAGTTTACAAACCATAGTCTCAAAGTTTAAGTCTCAGTATTTGCACATTGTTCTGTATTCTTTATTGATTATGGTACCAGCCGGCTGGTCTGTTTTGAAGTCTAGACCTGTGCAATACCCCAGGCCTCACAGAATGTTTCTTTGGTAGCTGTTGGTTTGGATTTACAACACGTGAAACTTGCTTTGGTCACATAACCCTTTTGGCGATTTTGGAGGCGGAACATCCCCCCAGATCGGTGCCGGAGGGGATGAAAAGCTGCCAGGCCACGTAGATGGTGATCATGTAGAAGCATGAGATGCAGAGGATCTGGCAGCGACTAGCGGCCAGGAAGGATGTGTAAAGAAGGGACTTGGGAGTGGTTGTCCAAAGGAAAAGCACTGAGTGGTTTTGCTGGAAGAATATGACTTGGTGAATGTCTGATTTTGATGTTGCCAAACAAGAGGGCTGGCATACCTTGTACTAAACCGAAGGACTTTAAATGTGAGTGTGACCAAACACCATGAAAACTGCTGTGCCATCAGTGGGAGCTCGCTTAGAGCCTTTCTTGCTTGCGCACTCCCTGCGCTTCTCTGGCTACGCCGCTACGCTTCTTCTTTCCAGAACAGCTAACGATGGAAAAAGGGAAACCTGTGACCAGCCACAAGCGGTACCCATGCACAAACGTACGATAGCAAGCCTTAGCCAAACCACGGCACCGTGGCGGGGCACTTCCGGTGTAGCCAAATTGTACTGATGCGCAAAGAAACTGATGAAGTTAAGGTGGCTACGAAAAGAAGGAAAGAAAGAACACAAAAGAAGAAAGAAAGAACGGAATAAAGGAATAGACGGAATAGAAGGAATAACAAAAGGAACAGTAAGTAGGTAGGAAATCTCAAAGTACAAACAAAAGTCTGCCCAGGCCCAAACCCATCAATCTCACCATTCCCACCTCAACCACGTACGCTGGATTTGGCTGGTGTATGAGCCTCAGCACGAAGAACTCGCGGCACAGCCGTTTTTTCGGTTTTTCACCAAATGTTTGCCACAGGTGCCATGGCCAAGCACCAAGCATGTGGTGCCATGGTCAAGCACTGTCACCAAGCATGTGCTCGTCTTGGGGCCTTTAGACCAAACGAGACTGAGCAAGACGAGCACTCCGGAAGAGACAGGCAGGTCTGCTTCCAAAAACCCCGCATGCATTGAGGACACAAATCATAGGCTTCGAGTTGATCGGACGCGGGCCAAGAAAGGAGTTCCACGGATGTTGTGGAATAGAATCGTCTTAGTGTTTAAGCAATATGCATAAATGAGAGATGTACTATGATGTACTCATCAAACAAATCTTTAAAGCGGTTTCAGAGTAGATGGTGCAAACCTCGACATGTAAACCATGTTTTCCGGGGCTGTGCCATCTACTCTTGCAGCCCCGGTCAATGGATGGCAAGGGATATTGGTCGGTCAACACTGGTCCCACCAGCTTGATCTTGGACGTCCAAGTGGCTGCTTCGCTGCGTAGCACATCCTCAGTCGACCGAGTGAGGAGCCCGTCCGCTGCCGTCCGCTGCGTAGCAAGCCTTCCGAACCAAGGACTAAGCACATGGGTGTGCATTAAAATAGGGAGACCAAACCCTGTGAACGACCCCCTGGAAGGTTCGTGACATAGACCCATCGACCGGTTGGGGCGATCGGGGGTCTCCCTTTTAAAGGACACACCCAAAACAGGTCCATTCCTTAAAAAGGATATGTCGACAAACTCTGGACCAGCAACCACTTTTGCAGCACAACTATCTGGGTGTGACCACCACTCACTTCACCGTCGCAGAACAACCCGTGTACTCATACTCCCGACGGGACCCGTCGGTAGAACTCAACTACTCGCTCTCGTCTCGGGACCATCCCGTTCCACGGACGTCCGAGGGGCCAAATGATTTGTCCTTGTGCCGCAATGCGACTGGCCAAGTCCAGGTTCAAAAAACGTAGGTTGTAGAGCTCCTCCCACCGTCGAACCCGGAGAAAACGACAAGCGAAGCCGAAAAACGCGGCGTGCCATCGTTTCCACCGGCACGGCGACGAACACGGCCAAGATGGTCAAACGCTGGCCATCATGGCAAGATGGTCAAGCCACAGAGTTGGCGGACCTTCTTCACCAGCCAACGGCCACGAGAACCGGTCGAATGTCCCTTAACGGTCGAGCGTTTTGATGGCAGATGCCGACGCTGAGTGGAGTCATCTTCTCCCGAGGTGGGAACCAAGCATTCACTCAACCCCATGCCAGATGGCTTACAAAAGGGCGAATCAACTCGGGAAATCGAGTGAACACGACGAACCATTTTATTAGCCTGGTTGACAAGACCTGGTTAGCCTGGTTGACGCCTGGCAATGGTTGTCAGCCTGGTTGGCACCATGTTCTGCCGCGCAAAGAAGCCTAAGACCCACACCCGGCACGGCAACCCGAGTGAACCTTGTGAACCTCTAACTTCGGCTCTCCGGCAGTCAGTGTGACAAGTCGAACACCGGTTTTGTCTGGGTGCAAGTCGAACAAACATACCCGTCGAACAACCAAAAGTCGAACAAAACCAAACACCAAACCAACCAAGCCATCCCCATATAGTCCATTCTCTCCAAAAAGCTCTGGTCCCCAAGAACAACGGTCGCCAGGACAAGCGCGCGCTTGGACACCGACTGGTCCTCGTCCATGCGTGCTTTGTAGGCATCCACTCGTGCCGCTGCGGCTTCTGCCTTCAGCTTCTCCCAGGAGTTCATGGCGATCTTCCTGGGCTCGGCGATCTTCGCCACGCGTCCGTCGCCCAGTTCAGGCCGCCCAGTTCAGGCGGCCCGCGCATTGAGAAGAATCAGCAGCGTCCGGTCCACCCGGGTGGTGTTTCAGCCCGACGTGTTTCATTGAAAAACCCTTCAAACACCGTTGGAACCGTCTCCGCGGGAACCGTCTCCGAACCGTCAACACCCGTGGTTTCTTCATGGCATGCCTTCGGGTCGCATGACCCAACGCTCGCTCGGACTTCGCACCGGTCTGACGAAGCGGTCGGACGAGACGGGTGATCCAAGGCACCGAGACGAGCACGAAAACGCATCCGAATAAACTCCGGTGGTGGAAATCGTCGAATTGGACTTCACTAGTGCTTTAGCTAGGATGGTTGACACCCGTGGATGCAAGGGAGTCCTCAACATGCGTGGATGCAAGGGATAGGGGCCTGCTTAAAGGAACCACTTCATCGGAATTTATTGGGTTTACCAGGTACCAAATGGTGGATGGAGCTTCGGCAAATGGTCCAAGCACTTTCAAAGAAGGCAGATCAAGTCAACATGGGTTGAAGGACACGCACTTGAAAAGCCATGCAAGTCGTATGAACGAGATATAGTAGTTATACGTAGTAGGCATATTATATGAATTACGTATGTAATTATACGTGTATTCTTCAAAAAAGGCTAAGTGAAGGATGATACTCACTGCTTTTGGAAGAAAGGTTCGATCGTCACCCAACGAGTGGCACCCCGAAGAGTCACCGGTCGGGTCGACGTTTTTGTCGCGGAAAGAACCCCCAGCAACTCCCCAAGGGCAACAGAACCTGGCCAAGAACCCGGAGTATGACTGGGACGTTAGGAGTTAGAAGCCGGGTTGCTGAAGATTAGAACCCACTGGGACTTTCGGAGTTCTTCAAAATGTTTCAAAGAACTTGTTCCAACGTCGACCACGACTCGACCCAACGACGCTGGTCGACGTTTCGTCTTTCGACTCGGCCCCTTTTTGACTCGGCCCCTTGACCGATCGACTCGACCCAAGTGGCCAAGCCCCCAGGACCACGCTCAACAGGTCTTCCTGGCGGAGGGAAAGGAAGACCGCGAAGAGAGAACGACCACCTTCGTCGGGCGGATCCCATGAGCGAATCCCTACCCCTAGACTTCCGTTCGACCATTAAAACAATGGGAAGGACCTGGTTTTTGTAGTGTAAAATCCTTAGTTGATTCGGTAAAGCCTATTGAATTAATGGTGGGCCAGGAAGCCTAAGGTACACCTTTTGACTGAGTCAGATCTGAACATGAGAACCTACCTGGACCTGAAAAAGGGGTGTCCTGGCTGGAGGTCCCTTATAGTAGTGGGCTGGGGCTTCCATTGGTTGAAGGTGCTGGTATTTAAGACTGATATCATGTCCAACAGTTCACAAGGCGAACTCAGGCTGAGAACTTCTCACGACACACAGACCGTTGACCCTGCCGTTGTCCCCTTCCAATGTCTCTATAGGGTCTCATCGTTAGCCATGCATCGAAAACGACGAAGATCAACGAACCGGAGTTGTTTCCTGGAGTCCTTCGAACCACGCCGTCTTGCCGTCTTGCCGTCTCCGATGCTGGCCTGGTAGAAGCGTACATGAAAGAGGCCAATGAGGGCCACCAAGGCATAAGCCAGGTAGCTCCCGATCATCACTTCCATGGCTCGCAGAGAAATTGGGAGAAAGAGATCCAGAAAACTCTCGGACAGCTGCGACCTTTGTTCGATTGGATGTCGTGTATATGTGACCCATGTCAAGCTGCCAAAGCATTTCCGGCCTCCCATCATTTGCTTCGCCTTGGACCACTGAGCTTGGGGCCGCCCCATTTGCTATGCCCCCCTGGGCTTCAAGACCTCTAACGCAGGGATGTTCTCCCTGCGTACCAGAGGTCTTTCCCTTGAACAGCTGCGGTTGCGGCGAAACTCCCGCCGAAACTCCCCTTCTCTTTCGGATGAAGCGAAACTCCCCAAACACGAAACATCCAGATGGCGATGGCCAAGTTGATTGTGGCCTGCAGGCTGAGCGGCTGAACGGGATCGTTTTCTTCGCCCTCTTCGACCCGACTTCCGGACCGGTCTCGACCCACCCGTCTCAGAACACGCGAGAACGCGCGGTCTGACGCGACGAGAATCACGCCAGCTTGGCCGCATCAAACAGGTGTCGTGACCCGAAAGGCTTCCTGGCCAACCATAAATGTAATAGACGTTACCCAATCAACTAAGGATTTTACACTACAAAAACCAGGTCCTTCCCATTGTTTTAATGGTCGAACGGAAGTCTAGGGATGAGTCATGGACCCGTGGTCCCCGGACTCATGGCCGTGGTCCAAACGTCTGGCCGCCCAAAGCGAGAGACGCCAGCTTGGCCGCTGCAAAAGCGGTGGTCGATTTGCAAAAATGCTTTGGCACATGAAACGACGGATTGATGGGAGTTGGCCCCAACCGATCTTTTTCTTGGTGTTTCTGGGCCCAAAAAAACGGCTTTGACGGTCCGACCGTGATTTCCACGGTCCCCGTTGGCCGCGCCATGGTCCAGACCGACACGCCCACCGAACGGGAACGAGATGGCGGTTACCGGTGGCGCCGCACCTGGCAGTGGAAATCCGGAACCCTGCCTGCCAGGTCACCGTGGTGAAGGGTGCCATGGCCATCGTGCGGGGAAGAGCAGAGTTCCACCCAACGGGTTATGATGAGTTCCATGTCCACCGTTGGTGTTTCAAAAAGAAAGCGCACCCGTGGTGAGACCGGTCCTCGTGTAAACAGTTCCATGAAGTCACACGATCTCCCGAGCAGCAACGTCAGAACTAGGGGGGCAGCAGGACTTGGCAGCAGGACTTGCTGCAAATGTCCAGATCGGCAAACTCCGATGAATAGCAGGTTTATTAATGTGTTAAGGTCGGTGAGGTGGTTGGATATCGGGCTTCAGGAACAAGAGCTTCATTTTACGATGTCAGACCACACGCTCGACGTCAGATCCAATAGATGTCTCATGCGTGTTGGATGGATGTGATGATGCTATTTTCTCTGGGCAAGTTCTATCGCAACAAATTATATAACAGTCTTAAGGCTTATCTTTCCGGCAAATAATTCTGCCCACCGTCCTTGGATGTGTCGTGGACCAATCAGTTGTTTTTTTAGGTGAAATGGCAACAAGAACAATTGAAGAAGTCCTAACCAGCTGAGAATCAGCTTTTGCCTATACCCAATCTCCACGTGCATTTCTCTCTTCCAAAGACCGGGCCCCGCACATGGCACAAGGACTTCCGCGCCGCGGAAGAACAGAACAGCGGCCCTTCTTTCTGTCTTTCCGTTCTTGACAAAACATCGGCTTTTGAGTTGAAATATGGATACGTCATGGGATGAAACTTGAAGAACTCACTGAACATATAGAAGAAGAACACCATGAAATATCCCACAATCTACAGTTTCAATGCCATGCTGAACCTATCTCATCCATCGCTTTCTGACATTTCTTTTTGGCTCCTTTCATTTTCATGTGCTGGGAACCCATATCTGCCTGTTCCCCCATGGTGGATCTTTGTTTCTGATGCGTCTAGCAACTCATGTACTCATGCCAGGGCCCCATCCTGAAGCCAGAGCCACGGCGGCGACGCGGCGGCTTTCGCGCAGCGCGACGCGTCTGCTTTCGTTGCCACGCGGAGAAAGGCGTGGAACCGGTTCCAACTCTTCGAAGCAGGTCAGCTCCGAGAGAGTCGGCAGGGCACACAGTCACGTCTTCACTCTCCCACGTCTTCGCCCGACTCGTGCCACAACGGAGTGATGGTTGAAATCTGCAACCCCATTAGCAATGTAAACGAACATGGCAAAAAGAGACGGAGAGCTCCTGCGTCTGGCTGGGTTCCAACGCTCTATTTCATTCATGTTCATGTTTGGGAACAGCAAACACGAAAAACCACCGTTCTTCGCTTTGGAGGATGCTGTTCACCACGTTCTTTGGGTCTGCCCCAGCCTAACCTTTAGCGGTCAAAAAGAAACTACGGAGTCGATACCCGTCCCATGCACTGCAGGTCGAGCAGTTTCCTCGATCCAGAAATTTCGGTCAAGTCGGTGATCGAAGATGTCACCGGGATCCCTGGCCCGATTTCATGGGTTCGATTCCCGAACAGCCCAACTGTTATGGATTTTGCAATATGTTGCACTACAAAACCAGGTCAATCCTTTCTTGAATGGTCGAATGGAAGGCGACCGAGATCTGCTTTTCGACCGTAAGTCTCCAAGCCGACCCTCGATTTTCGTCCTACACGGTCTCGGTGACGACCTCAACTGATATACAGTATCACCCACATCATTTGCAGTATATCCACATATTCGCTGTGGTTCAAAGCCCAGGCATCCTGGTTCACTGGTTGACCACCCAAAATGCACAGATTCCTCCAAATAAGTGATGGTGGACCAGGTTGGTTCCTCCACAAAAATCCTCCGCGGCCGCCAGCGATCCGCCCGTTTTCGTTAACCTTCTCCTATCGTCTCCATCTCCAGCCCTTCGTGCACCGGCTCCTCGGATCGCCTCACGATCGCCACGAATGCCGACCGCCGGGAAAAACGCTCGGTCGACCGAGTGGAGGAGCGAGTGTCGGGCATGAGACGACGAGGGCGCCGGGGGCGCTCCTTGGGATGAAGAACGGAACGGAACAAGAAGCTACGAACGTAACTAAGGGCATTAATTACTACAAGGACGCCATGAGTAGCTCTTTTTCCTTCCTTTCTCGCTGGTCTTTCTCGCTTGTCTCAGCTAGTTGGGATGGGCGATGGCGATGTTCTCACGCTCGAACCCTCCCACCATCGAAGTGGTTGGACGCCTCGCTCCACCAATGGCCATGTGTCCAGCTGTCAGTCCAAGGCACGGGGTGCTTCTTCTGCGGCTTCGGTAGTGGAGGTAGGCCAAGCAAAGGAAGAGGAGCCTGAGCTCGCGGCTGGCCCCATGGCCCCCATGAGTTCGCGAACCACCATCACAAGAGTGCGGTACAAAAACGTCTGTTCGATTCTTTTTGGTCCACGGACATGGCGCCGTTTCATCTTCGCTGATTTCAGCTCCCTCCCCCCCCGCACATCGTTCGAAATGGTCGTCCGAGGAGCAGGGCCAGGATCATGAGGACAATGTTTCGGGACAAGAAGCTCGAGGAATCCTCCCCGCCGGACCACGAGAGGATCGAAGGGCTTGAAAAGAGGGTGACGGGAGTTCGTCTGCTAGATTCGTCGAATTTTTCTTCTTCTTCTTCTTCTTCTTCTCTTGAGTCGGAGGAAGGCCTGTGACAGCGGCTAGCGGCTAGGCGGCTTGCAACAAGATTATTAATGGTGGCTTGCTTTCTACCACCCCAAAATGCCGCGTAGTCGTTCTTCGAAAAAAAGACCGGCCTGCCAGGTGCGGAGCGAGGTTCGGTGTCGACACCACTCGGTCTGTCGACACCGCAAGCGAGTCGGGCGATGTCCGAGAGACGAGTCACGTGAGGTCCGAGGACGCCGTTGCCGTCGCTGGGCACCAAGGAAGCCGAGGAAGCGAGATCGCGTCGCCTGTTCCCTCGCGAGAGCGCGTTGCCTGTTTCAGCTCCCAAAGCCTCTCTTTGATGCACCTGGCACGTGGTCGCTTGGTTGGAGAAACCAGCGCGGTGTTCAAAAGGAAGAATCACCACAGCACCCCCGGCTGGCGATGATACTGGTTGAACTCATAGAATCTCTCTTCTGTCAGACCTGGAATTTTTAGTCACCTACTTCTGAAACGAAGCTTCAGACACACCGGGAAAAACGCACGTCGCAGATACAAGTAAAGTTGACGAACCCCCCTGAAACATGCAAAGCGAGTCAGCTCCTCAAAGCACTTTGAAACAACGTATACTAGGCTTCGAAGGCGCCAGCAATCTGCCTTTCCGTGTTGTCGGAGCTTAGGGCTCTATCAAATCCGTGCACCGGTTCCAAAAAGGAGCATTTCTGAGAAGTCCTAGAGTCTCTGCTTAGCCACAGCCATCAAAAAGCCATCCATCGCATCCCTACCGGATCCATCGCATCCCTACCGGACAGACCACCGGTCGGATGATCCCGGATCCGCCACCGCTCGGAGGGCGGCAGCGGACCCGCCCCGATCAGTGCGCCAAGGCGCAGCTGGCTCGTGCTCACCTGGGTGAAACGAGACGGATCGGTGGCGACGCTTTTGGGTGGCGACGCTTCGCCTTTTTTTTTCGCGGTGAACTCTCCACCTGCCGTGGGCTCCGGAAGAAAATCAAAGACTGAACATGAAATACCAAACGTTGGCACAAGCAGTGTTGTTCTCTTTTTTGCACCTAATTATCCCTTTTCTGCTGATCAATCATGGAAGCATTCCGTTTGGATGAACAGGACTGGACGCATCTGGGCTTGGACAGTGTCCATCCGCTTCCACTGTGAAGAAGCGAACTGCTGAGTCCCTCGAGGCCCGTGATGCGTTCGTGCAAACCCAACCCGAGCCGCGGTGTGCGGTTGGCGGTTGCACCCTGGGTTCTGGCTTTCATCGATTTATATCGGATTGATATTTATGACGGGTTTATTGGAAGAAAACGAACCTTACTTTTGGGCCCCGAAAGTTAGGATCCCGAAACTCGTGTTTCTCGTGTTTCTCGCGAGAAGGGTGCTGTGGGTAATCACTGCAATCAGTGATCAGTGTCCAAAACCGGTGGGTTTCCGTCAAAAAAAGGTGGTGGATGACCGGCCACGTGGCCAAGTGGCCATGCTCGATTGATCAAACCCCACCTATTTGGGCTTTAGGTCCATTGAAGAGGACCCATATGTTAGAGTTATTAGAGGTCTTACAATCAAGAAGAATTCGATTGAATATAGTAAGACCTCTTCTTTAATATGGGAGGTGTTCTTCATCTAAAATCCTACTTCAAGGACGACCCCCCTTCTACGCGCCCAAGTGGTTGATCATGAACTCTACGGCTACATATTTCTACCGGAGAAACTTTTTGGCTCCGGCCTGTTTGGACACTCTCTTCGCCCATCGCGGAACCGTTCAAGCGACGGAAATGCCATAGAGCAACATGCAGGTGACCTGGAGCAGAAAGAGATCGACTCCTCACGTCGCCTCACGTGTCAAGATCCTGCACTTTGGACCGAGGACTCCATCAAATGACTGCACTTCATGATGTATTCACTTCTGGATATACCCTAGAAGTCCAGTTCGACGATACGTTGACCGGCTGAAGGATCCAGGAAGTTCCCGAACTCAGGTCCCCGTTCGTCATCGCCTGACCGTTCCTTTTATAGTCTGACCGACTCCCAGGGGATACGTAGACATCTCTTCATGGGTCGAAAGCCTTCCCATTTGGGATGGTCGATGGCCCTCGTCATGGTTCTATTCGTCCGTTGCGTCGGCCTTTCACCGAAGGCGGAACCGAAGGCATGGCTCAAGGGGACTCAATGAGCTCCTGCCTGCTGTTGGCATCCATCGATGCATGTGCCACAAGTCACCTAGGAGTCACACTCAACTGAATCCATCAGGCCAAAGATGGATGGATTGGCAGCATTGGCCCCGAAAAAGAAACAACTGCTCACCGTGTCCAGTCAGACCGCCGGTCTAAAGAATGAACAACGGGGCACGGTGGGGACGACGAATTCGTTGGGTCCGCTCGTCCAGCCGACAACGAGGAGGGCGGATCCGGACGTCAGGGTTCGGGCAAGAAGCACCATGCCCTGCTACTCCAGCTTAGATCAACAAGTTGGGGTCCACGGTTTTTGATGTTTCACAGATTCTGCCCTATGTTTCCCTTACATGTTAAAGACATCGTTTTACTGGAGTTGGTCATGGAAAGCATTACTCAATGAGGTAAAGGACCGGGTTTGCTGGGTCTTTGGATCTGTAGGATTCCACATCATATGCAAGACTGGCCCGCCCCCCATCCCGCCTGTCAGTCTCCCTCCACCAAAAAGAACATGTTCCAGTCCCACAACCCGTGGGATGCACTGGAGGTCCCGGCCGGATTCACCCAAAAGGTGTTTTCATGGTCGCAGTTCTGGGTGCCACGCGCCCTGCGGGAACAGAAGTCATGCGTTCCTTCAACAAATCTGTTTTTGGAAAACCAGTGGATATCATGTCAAAGCCAAAGTCTCAAAGAGCAGGTCTTCATTGAAATGCAAAATGATGCCCGTGGGCCGCCGTGGGCCCGTTATTTGGTACTCCAAAACCATGTGGCGCGCAAGACGCGATGCAGTGACCCCCACGCCCCAGCCGCCCGCGCGCCCGACAGCCATGTAGGAATAGTAATGATTGTAGCGGTCTTGGCCCGCGGGAGTGGTGTTCAGGGCCAAATCACGATACCTGGGGCGAATAGGACGGTAGTTATTGCTGCAGCTGAGGCAGGGGAAACACGGGGGGAAAATGTGAATCAAGAAATGGAGTGGGCTAGTGTTGCATACATGTCTAGACAACTTTGGATCCAAAAACTGGGCGCTCTAGACAAATCCACAGTTGGAATGGTGATTTGACTGAGGATTTGGTAATGCTTCCCTGATACAAATTATAGAAGTGTCGTGACCCACCTCTTCCATAGATCCCTGCTGGTGGTCCGCTCTGTCAAAAAGTGAATTCCCTTTCAACCCTCGAGCGCCAAAATCTCTTGGAATGCCCAAGCTGAGACCTTGACCTCTCCCGGGGTGAGAGACCACGGCTTTCTGCTGACCGCTTTCCGAGGAACAGTGAAGCCATGACAATGAAAGGCGAATTCACGACCAGGAGAACCCTTCAGTTTCACCCACCAAGACCCAGACAGCAGCTTGAGGCCGAGGATAAGCACACTCGTTTCTCACACCCACAAGATCCTGAAGTCAGAGCTTACGCATTCTTGCGCTTCTGCTCCTCGTCCATCAAGACGCGGATTCGCTTCTGACCCGTCTCCTTCACAACTTTCAAGAGGTAGACAGCGCATCTCTCTCGCGAACGCTCTCGCTACTTGTGTCCAGCTGAGCACCATGGTTGGGGCGGCCTATTTGCTTGATCGGGCGTGTGCACTTGTGGTTTTTGCAAGGAGCCTCCAGCGTGCCAGCCTGATGCTTCATGTAGTCGCAGAGAGTTTGCGCGTGGAGATCTTGGGCGCTTACCAGAAGATGTGGAATGGTGTGAACAACAAGCCCACCCAAAGTGTAATTATCGAGGACTGCTGCACTGCAGCCAATCGGCATGTATCCTGACACTGCAACTGCCTGTGAAACAGTTCTTTGTACAACTGCAGGCTCCAGCGTACCTCCTTAACAAATGCTCTGCAAATGCTCTGCAGGTACATCGTTTAAATCTGCGTTTTTCCCATCATCTCCGACAGATGCTGAACACTTATTATGTGTCACGCATACGAGGTTGTTCTTCTTGGCCACCTTAGTCTTTGAAGTCCTTGCAATCATTGAGCACTGCACGGGCCCCTTCGTGCAAATACCTTCCAAGTATGTCTGGAACTTCTCTAGCTTCGCGTAGGCACCAGTTCCATCACACCAGCCGGTCATTGGCGGCAGCATGGTCGACTTGTTGAAAGCTTTGGCCCGTACCAAAGCCAGGTCGCCCCCCACTTCAAAAACCCAATCCACCTCAGAGATTTCAACGGCTGAGGCAGGGGAGGATGAATACAATACAGAAAAGCCAGAAACAGTGTGGAAGTAGTTTAAGGAAGAAGAAGACGAAGAAACCCCAACCTAATCAGCAAAACCTACTAACCTCTCAAAAAAGCCAAAATGCAAGCTCCAAGAAAGCCAAGATAACCCCCATGAAACTCAGCTCGTCCAGTAGTAGATGATTGGAACGCTGGGCCCAAACTGGGCACCCGAAACATTAAAGTCGTTGCTTGTATTGACTGTTGGTCGGTGAGTTCCATCAAAAGGGCCCTTCAGTGGAGACCCTGAGGCCGGTCCACTCACACCATGTTCTCCTTGCTCCACAGCCTCGCTGGCCCTCGTGAACGAGGCCGTGGCATGGCGAAATTCAAACCGTTTTGTGACTCATCACAACACAAAAACCCATGGTCTCATATGGGTCATCCATCATCAACCTGTTGCAGCACTGCAGCAGTCGAACTGACAGAGTGCCGAAACTTAGTTTTGCGCTGACTGAAAAATTAATCAGCGGATGTTCCGATCATAGCGTGGAAGAATGCGAGTGTGTGTGTGTGTTTCCATGTGCTTCTTGCAGGCGGCGCTTTGAAGCGATAAGCTGGAACATCAATAAGCGCTTACAATCTGGACCTCAACAACCAGAGCATTGCGGTAATTTGCCAGCCACTGTTTGAAAGAATTTGAACTCATCAGTTGTGCAGCAGGGCTCGAAGACCTTTTTTGTTCGCGCCCATATGGGAGCGATGCGGCTGGCTTGCGCAGTCCTAAGGAGTCCTTGGAACACTGCAACAAGCAAACCCCCCCACATGAGCAACTGCAGTAACTCCAAGCCCGCTGCACATTTCTAAGGGCAGAAAGGTTGCACCTAAACAAGGTACAAACGTTTGTAGATGCGGAAACACAACCTCCTTCGCACAGGTCTTCCCCATCTTGAGCCTTGAGCTTGAAGAAGTTCCCAATCCGCTTTTGATCATGGTCTGGCGGGAAGGTCAAATGGGTTCTCTTCCAACCGACGGTGTCTTGCTTTGGCTTCCTCGGCACGTCTTGGCCTCTTTGAGGGTGGTAGTGGAGGAGGTGGCATCGGCATTGTGGCAGGCTCAACCGCGGCAGTTGGTACCATAGCGGATGGCTTCCCAGCACTATCCCGCGCTCCTTCTGATTTGGCATCCGTGCCTGAGAAAGTCTTGGCTTCGTGAAGAAGGGCCGCTTGAAAAGACGGGTCTGCCACCGCCATTTGTAAAGAAAGCTCCTCCGCCTCTAGGCGCTCAAGCTCTTCCAACATACGGGCCTTTTGAAGTCTACGGGGGTTCTTTGCTTGAAGGGTTCCATTTTGAGTTTTTGTTCAAGCTATTTAGGTGAAGTGTTTTTTCCAGCCTGTTTCGTGGGGGTTGCAAGGGATGCCAGGTGGAGTGTCTATTTGCACGATGGTGGGAAAGCTGGCTTCGACACAACCATTGCTAAGGTAGGATTGGTTGACCTTCAACAGGTACACTTCCCTACACTTTTGGCAACTGGCAGCTGACAAGGAACAGATTGAAAAAGTTACCCTCGACAAGGGGTAATTTTTCAGGGTGTTGCTATATTTGCTTTTGCGATGCCTTCGAGATTTGGATTGAAGTTGGCCCGTCTTCACCAGCGCTTCTGCAAAAAGATGGAAGCCCTTCCTGAGTCTGGCCTCTCCACCCCATGCGTTGATGGGCTTGAGCTTTTTGAATCTATGGAGTGGGGAGATTGGTGGGACTGTGCAAACATGAAGAGAGCGTTTTCAAAAATTTGCGCGGAAGTACAGACTTAGTTATTGGGGAGTGGAGCAGACTGTTCCCCACACATATTTTACTAATTAGCGGACTTTCTAGGGCTGTGGATCCTGTAGGCGTGTTGTGATGCGCAGGTCTGTTTGTTGCAGCGTGCACTTTGTTTTGTGTACAACCACTGGAGTAAAGCCCTCAGGTTCCACACGGCTGCCCAATTTGCTGGCGCGCTTACTCGCCAAACCCAACTAGACCCAGGCCTACAGAAAGCCTGGCCCTTGCATTCCAAGTTGGGAGTGGTCCTTGCACCTTGTTATCCAAGGTCTTTCCCACCTAGCCTGAAACCTTTGAGAGATATGCAGTTTTGCGTTGGGCAAAGCACGACCGTGACTGGCTTTACTCTGGCTTCCAGGACACCACAAGAATACGTATAAAATACATATTCTACCCGTATCGCTAGAGCCACCCGTATGGAGATCGTATTTTGGCCATATAAGACCGTAAAAATGCATATGAGAATACGCTTTTAAGTGTATTCTGGAGGTTTCTTGAAAGGGTCACTCTACTAACATTTTGGAACTTCTGCTGAGCGTTTGGAGTTCTTTACCCCAAAGGGTTGATAGAGGCACGTGGCCTCAAAAACAGAATCCTGCCCCAACCACGGGTTTCTGGCTCTAGGGCTCTCGGCTTTGAAGTCGTCCAACCACCAAGGGCCTGTGCAACACGGCGTTGAAGCGATCGCGCTCGGGTATCCCGTCAAAACAGCTTTCGTGTAGCGAGCTGAAAGATGATCAGAAGGGGCTACTTGGCGGAGGATGGTTACTTGTGGCCGAACGCGCATGTTTCTTTTCTTGTCTGTCCACCAGGGCCAGATCCACCACAGCCACCACTACCACCAACAAAACCGCGTTCGCAAAAGAAACACAGCGTATCTGCAAAGTGCTCCGGAACTTGCTCCGGCGCCTGCTCCGCAACTTGCTCGGGAACTTGCTCCGACAGCTCTGGAGGCTGTTCCGGAACTTGCTCCGAAACCTGCTCCGAACTTGCTCCAAAACTGCTGCGGGATCTGCTCCGTCTACTCCGAAATCCCCTAAGCTTTGCTGTTAGGGGAAAACATGTATATGTCTTCTGTTGGGCATTTTCTCAAAGCAATTGACAGATCTTCATGGCTCCAAAGCAACTCCATCACACCGTTGCGTGTTGCTTCGCCGAGCTGCGCCACATTGGTGAAATTGTCCACCAAGGAGCTAGCTTCGTATTCCAAAGCAAACTTTGGCTCCTCCTCCCAAAAAGAAACAGCGGTGAAAGACCCATCCACACACAGTTACCACAAGATATCCAGGCTCAAACCATTGGAAACATGTCCACTTCGCCTGATTTGAGTCTGTCAGATTCAGGCTCGACCTGGAGCAGTTCAACTGATTTGACCTGGGCCTTCGCCAATGGATGATTATCTTGGGGGATAGCAAGATCCGGCCGGGAACCACCGTCGGAACACAAAATGCAAGGCATCCTAGGAACAGCTCAACGTCCATTTGCACGACGTTGGCAGTGGTACTTTGACTTTGGATCTTTAGCCATGACTTGCACAGCGATTGGCCATTGCAGCTGCATTTACAGCTTCTGAGCAACGGCATCGACGTAACATCACATGAATCATCTCTGTTTCAAACAAGAAAAGCTGGCCCTAACAAGCTCATATTACGCACGCATGCCATAGATTGATGGTAAAGACATATCAGTACTGTTCTCTGAGACCGACCGCATACACTGCCTGAAACAATCATGGCAAGCGGAACAGGCTCGTGGAAGATCATTTTCCTCTACAAGGGGGGTCTGCTCAGGTTCCAGGATTGTCTGAGGGAGGGTGGATTCAATATCTATACTGTAGAGTTGTAGAAATCCCACCCCAAAGCAAACTCCTGATTCATTCTTTCGGGGCCATGTCAATCACCCGTCCATCAGCTGCCCCTAGCCTTCAGAGACCATATATATAACAAAGAGTTCACCTGGCTTTGTGTAAAGTCCTTAGCAAAACAAAGATTGTTCCGTAAAGGCTATTAAATCAATAATAAAGCCACGACTCCTAGGGTTGCCCGACTCGTCGTTCTCTTCTCTGTATCGACTCCTCGGACAAGTTGGCCCAAAAGCACCGGTACTCGTGGAGGCGTCGCTCACGGATCTCCACGGCGTAAAACGACCTGAGTCCTTCGCCACCGAGTCACGCAGGGGGTCCCGCGGTTTGTTCGATGAAGAAGGCGGGGGGGTGACGACGGACATCCCAGTTCATCCCAAAAAGGGTGAAAACATGCTCATCCCACAGAACCTTCCTGCTGGTTTCGCATGGCAAGCCTATGGACTCTGCACTTCACATGTTGTCCATCTCCATCCACAAAAGAAAGTGGCTTTGTCGTCTGAGGTCAAAGGTGGACAACTGACTGATGAAAAAATAAAACATCGTCTCAGCGTGATGAGATTTGCTTTGCATAGACTGAACAAACTATTCAGCATAATTTGCAAATAAAACACATGGGCCGACCCCATCTGATTTCATTGGGATTGTCTGAAGGGGGATGTACTACTATGTTATATACGTATACTCTATGTATCTTATCTATATATAATGACATTACATGGTAGTTATACACATCTTGATGACGAAACACTCTTCAAGGTCTCCGGTCCGTCAACGCACCGGACTGGTTCAACGCACCGTTTGATACGCGTCACGCGACCCCAACCCTGTCAGCGAGGCGGCGGGTTGTTCCCGAAGACCGGGCTGACGGAAGCGAAGAGCCTCGGCGTCCCGTTCGGCGCCCCGTCACCGGTGCCAACGCGCGGGGGAGCCCGTTCGACGACCGGTTCACGGAAGGGCAGAAGTCCGACGCCGAGTTCGGCCTGGGTCGGCAGGGGGGGGGGAGCAGGGAAATGTTCGGGAAAGTCCACACCATTCTGCAAAAATAGTTGGCTGGACTAGGCTTCAAAGGGGCTTCGTTCGGAGAACAGGCCCAGCCGCCCCACGGACTATATGCGGTTTTTGAGCGTTGGGAGATGGGCGGATGCAAGACGTCCGGCGTTCTGGGCGTCTATCTGAACGACTTGGGCCAAGTCTGACCCATCTGTTTCACAATCCATATCACTTCTCAAAGTTGAACACCAAACAAGAAACCTGGCTTTTGGTGGCAATGGTCACGGCTGGAAAGCGGACACCTGCTTGCCTCAAAGTACTGAACCAAACCAAAACAAAGATGGATAGAGGTTGATATCATTCTCGATCCAGAAGTCTTGCCTGAACATTCTGAAAACGTGACGTCAACTCGCAACAATTCTGATCTCTTTCCACAATGGAAAAGGAACTTGGTGGTTCTTGAAATGATATCCTTTAAAACAGTGACTGTGGTTGGCCTCAATCCAAATCGATGACCAAAGGGCGTGCGCAAATTGCTGGGCAAAGCCAGTGCATCCCAGTTGCTGCTAAGTATAGCAGTTGGTAGATGAGATGGCGTGTGACAAACACTATGGAATCCAGAGGTTGTAAGTGTTGATTACCAAAGACAGATTCCCAAAACAGATTCCAAAACAGATTTGCAAAAACTTGCGTCCTGCCCTTGAAAACACCCGGTACCTTCGTTGAAACTACATCGCGCCCCGGACATCCCGGGGATAACCGTGCGACCCGGTCGCCCACAAGAACCGACCCGCTCAGCGTGTGGTGTGTCACCTCCCACTGTCACTGAGCGCTTTGGTTTTCCGTTGGGTCCTGAACTCTCCGATCCGCAAGTCCTGTTGTCACCGAGCTCTCCGATTCGCCTTCGGTTCGTGCCGTTGTGCTCGTGCTCGTGCGGGGCGTGGACATGGTACCCTCTACCGCATTTGGAAGACTCCTCAAAAGCCATCGCATGTCCGGACAGTTGTCAGCCCTGGACCCCCTCCTTGGAAAATTTTAGCAAGGCAATGCAAAGCAAAGTTTGTAACTAACTGCGTCTGACAGCAGGTTACACACACGGGGACGTCAAGGAATTCACCCAGCTTTCCAGAGGCCAACAGTGCGATTAACGGAGCTCAGAGCATATACCTATCTTGCAACGTTCAGCAGACATTGCAAGATATTTCCGTGCCACGCTGACCCCTCATGTGCGCCCCGCGTTTCCGCAGCCTGCAAGAAGATGCCTCTTGCATTCTCGTGGGTGGGGTGGGAACCGTTTATAGCAAAGCTTTTGCCTGTTGGTGCATGCGCAAAGCTGTGGCCTTCGCGCAGCATTTTGGAGAACTTGCCACTGTGCCCTTCTGTTCTTAAAACTTTCCATCACTAGGCCTTCCAGGGTTCACCAACAGTCTTGCCTGTGTGCTCAAAGGTGAAAGTACCAAAGAGCCGCAAGGTGGCCTGGTCGATGCTGGGAAGCTCCAAAAGCTCCGGTCGACAGGGAAGAAAAGGATCTCAAGCGAAGCCTCGGTGTGACCTTCGTGTGCTTTGCGGCCTCGCAATCGATCGCTCTGAATACAACTGGTTGACCGAGTACAACTCCATCCGAGGCACCGCTGCGTCCGTCCGACACCGCATCGAAGGGGACAGTGTCAAGCCAATCAACGGGGAAGGTTGCTTGGAATGCAAAGGCAAGCAAGCCACTAAGCCATTCCTGATGGCAAGGTCGCTCAAAGCAATGGTGCCGTGCCGAACCTGCCCACATGCAGGCAGGACACATGCGGAGCCGACAGCTCCGGCAGACTTGTTGCGTGCGCAGCCACTGCCCTTGCAGATGCCGGCCAAAATGCTGCCAGCCGCTGGAGACCAAACAACTTCCTGACCAAGTGCGGCGATACTCAGAAATCCCCGGTGTGGTTGCAGGGATGCCTCCAGAGGCACCAGTTTCTGGCCCTGCGGGCGCGTTAAGCGAGGCACAATGTTGGCACTTGTAGATGCTTGCTGGCCTTTGATAGTGGGTTGAGAGTGGATGGCAAAATCCCCAAAAGGTGGTTTATATGGACCCCTATATACGAGACATCTTGGGGTCTGTGCCATCTACTCTGAAACCACTGTAAAAACATGTCCTCAAACAGCCGCACTCGCACAGCCTCCTCATCAAATGTGTGGACGCCTAGGCGGGTGCGGCCGTTGCTGCAGGAGCCCATTTGCTTAACATAGGTCTCCTGCTGGCAGCCTAGCCAAACACAGGCATGCGCTAACACACAAGTCTCTGCCTCAGCTGTTCCTTTTCCGAAAGCTGCAGTGGCTCTATCATATGGCTCATATCAGATCTTCCTCTTGCAAATCTTGGGTCCTGGAGGTGCAAATCAACTGGAGTTGTTCCATTGTCCACCCACATCCTTGCAGTCCCCAGGAACTTGGGTCAAGTCCTCATGTGCAAAGAGCACGCAAATCACTTTCGTTTTCGCTCCCTATTGACAATCTGAATCTGGCCCTCAGGATGCCGTGGACAGTGATGTGTGCCTCCGCACGCGTCCGTGGCAGACGGCACCAGGAGCTGGCTTTGGGGCAGCCAAGAAAGCATAAGGACTTCAAGTTGTCTTTGCCATCGACGCTTGCACCAATCAGCACCTATGTCCGTGCTTATGCCCCCACAAGCCACACGAAAACACACAAAAATACATTGGAAACATCGAGAACCTATTCCCGTGCTTATGCCCTCACAAGCGACGCGAAAGCACGGAAAATTGAACAGTTCAACATTAAGTTATTGATTGTAGCAAGCGACATGGAGTCGTTGAATTTTGGAGTTTTCATTTGGCCCCATGGGGCCTTGACTTTTCTTTTTGATTGTTTGAGATTTTGAAGTTTTGAATGTTCATGTGCCCCTCTGAGGGGGTTGACTTTTCCTGCTGATTGAATTGTGTTATGTTTTTCGAGTTTGAACATGTCGCGTAAACCGATGGCTTAGCAACCATATATATATATGTAGCAGGTTACCATGCCCATGCTGTATCTCCGATATACACCATATACATCCATGGTACCATATTATTGATGATACCATCAACTGAATTCACATCCTTTGTCGTCGCATCGCGAGGTGCCGTCGTCTCGTCGCCGCGGCGCTGCATCGGTGGCGGCGTGTCTCCTCGTGGCTCCAGGGCGACCCGGAACTCGTCGCCTCGAGTCGACACCGGTCGTGGCAGGTCGTTTGGTGTGGTTTCTTTCCAAAACGATCCAAAAACTGGGAGGGTTTGCGTCCTGCGATGTCCTGTGATGTGAACGTTTTTGTGTTTGGAGACGTGTCTCCATGGAGACGTGTCTCTTGATGTTTCTGAAGCAACTTCCTGAACATATATCACTCATCATTACTCGATCATACTCGATCCAACAATTGGCATTCTGTGGCCCGGTGACCGTCCTCGTCGTCCCTGCAGTGACGTCGTCCAGTCAACCCCCCAACCTGCGCGCGCGCAAGTTGTGGCTGTGCTTTCCTCTCCCTCTCCCTCTCCGTACCCCGCGCTCCGTACCCCGTGCTCGCCCAGCGTCGATGCTGATGAGAGAAGAACTGTCCAGCCACGACCTCTCCGTACCTCGGAGAGCGCCGCCGTCAGCGGACGCCACGACGGCGCGACGGCGTCGTGTTTGCAGACGGCTCGGGCGAACGAGTCGAACGAGTCGATCTCGTTCGAATGGAGATTCCCATGGCTCAATGGGTAGACCATTCTTTAAGTTGGTGGCTATATGAATACAGAACCAAATAGGTGCACCCCTGGCGTGCCTGGGGTCGTTCTGCTTAGACGGCGACTTCCCTTGACCAAGCTGAGTATAGAAGTTAATTCTTTTGAAGCTGCAAGACACCGACACCTGCGCAAAGTCATCCGAGCATCCCAGTTTCATCCGATTTGCTTCTTGTTACGAACGTAGTATACGAATGCTTCGTTCGCTTCGCGATGCCCGTTTCGCCGAACTCGTCCCAGTCGCTCCCAGTCCGTTGGACTTCAGAAACCTCCCGGTTCGGAAGCTCCCCGTCCGTTTCTTCGAAAGCGGAAACGGACGGCACTCTCGACTCTCGTGGTCGGTCCCACCGTGGCACCGGTCCCATGTGCGGTCGAGGCCGGTTCCTTTCAAATCGAGTGGCCGTAATCTTCTTATATAGATGCATTATGAGTGGTTTTCCACGGTTTTGCAACGAATTCCATGGATTGCTCACCAGGACTCGCGCGAGTGTTTCATGTCCCTAGGATTCGTGCCCCACGAATCCAATTTTGATAGCCGGGTCATCCCGAAGAACCCCGTTGGTTTACCGAGGATTTTTCACTACAAAACCAGGTCAACCATGTGTTAAATGGTCTTTGAAGGCTAGGGTAGTATTCGTTTTGTACAGCACTTGATCTTGAACGATCTGACAAAGTCGTTACGATCAGAGGCTGCGACGCTGGGCCTAGGGAGTACGTAATGGGTAGTACGTACTGGAGGTACTGGAAGGTACGAAACTGGGTACATGTTGAAACCAAGTCTTCTTCCAGTCCCAACGACAGTCTGCAGTCTGCTCGTTCGCCATCGACTCAGGCCGATGGCTTGACTCGCTCATTGTGCGACACTCGTTTTCCCCAGCAGCAACGTACTGGAGATTCGATCAACGTCCGACACTCGGGGATGAGGCAAATACCTGAAGCCCGACCAGTCCACCATGTAGCGAACCTCCCAAGGCAACGCGGGCAACAACCGCGGCCAACGGAGACGTCGGATGGTGCTTCACCGGCGTCGCCACTCCCAGTTCGCGCACGCGTTCGTCCGGTCCATCGTTCGCCAAGAGACTTGGCCAAGAGGTTCCAGTAGCGGACAGCAAAGGTCCTCTGCCACCTCGGCCACGTCGGCCCCCCGGCCCCCCGCCATGATGGGAAGAACTGGCCCGGTCTCACTCGCGTCGGTTGGAGGACCGTGCCCCGGAGGCGCCGGCAGTGGCCTTCAGACCAAACTGGGCAGACACCCAACGAAGTTCACTCAGCTCTGCACCTGCCCCCTTCATAATTGGTGAATAGAGGGGCCTAGCCAAAAATAGACCACTTGAGGCCAGAGGGGGTGAACGAAAGCTAGCTAGGGGGTGAACGAGAGTCTGGTCGTCAGGGATGGGCGCTGCTGCGCTGGGTGCTCTGCTGGCGCCGGGTCGTCTGCTG